AGGCTTGATGTTGTTGTTGTTGTTGTTGTTGTTGTTCAATGTCGATTTAGTGATGGATCATGTATAGCTTCAGCATCTTTGCTGTTAGGTTCATGTATTTATTGGTCTATGGTGATAATGTGGCTGGATGCACATTCGGCCCAAATAGTTGAGACATTTTTATTGTCAGTTCAGGTAGCTGACTTTGTTTGGACTTGTGCTTATCTGATGTTTGAAATTATCCCCACCAGCCACCTTAATGCCTTGTCCATTATCCTATTCATATGAACTATCTATTGATTTTGAACGGTGATCTGTCCTTGGGACTTCTGAGATTTTTGTATATGAATAGAAAATTTAGACATTTTGCATTTTCTTCTGGTTTTCGTGTGTTCGCTGGATGTTGACTTCTGAGTATGGTGCAAGGGTGGCTATCAAATTGCAGGGAAAGTCATCTTGGCATGAGACTTGTGTTTCCTATATTTGATAATCTCTCGCCTTATTCTCTTTACTAATTCCAGAGTGGCTATCAGCATAATGTTAGTGATTTTTGCAAAAATGAATGATTTTAGTCAAATCAATTAAAGTTAGGTTTTTTCTACTATGTAAATCTTACTTGACTAGCTATTTTTGTAGTTTCAATTGCTTGCTAAATTTATTTGATTCGAGTGATTATTCGAATATCATTCCGCACGAATTGTCATATTTTTGGTTTACATAAAAAGAGGACAAATTTTTGTTTTAATAGGTGATGTTTTAAAATGAAAATTTATAATCAAAATTCTTCTTTTATGTAAGAACTCTATATTTTTTGTTTAAATGAATTGTCTTGATTTTCTGAATAGTTCTTAAATGCGTAAAAAATTAGGCCAAAATATAATTATAAGGTGAAAATATCTCTATCCATATAAAAGGATAAGAGGTACATCCCAATATTTGTGTGCACAAGCAAATACAAAGTTATTGAGTACATAACCAAGTGGTATTGCCCATTACCTCCAAGTGAAGATCTAGGGTTGGACTACTTAAATTTTCCATAAGATCAAACCAAGTATCACGCCCTACTTAATATAATGCTGGGAACAAGAAAAATTTTGTACAAAACTGGAGTAGTTTGTACATATCTAACAACAAAAGCACCGTCCATAGGAAGAAACAAAATACATTTATAAATAATACCACTTGGGCTGGTCAAATTCCCAGGAATGATTATAATGCAAGAGAATTTCCTCTAATATTTTATATTTTCCATATGCTAGGTCTAGGAAGATGTTGCCAGTATGCCACTAAACAAGATAAGCTCTTCAATATAGAATTTTAAGTGTCATTTCTTTGTTCAAGGTGACGAACATCAAGATAAATGTATCTTAAAGGAACAAGATAAATGGCATATTGCATTCTTAAAACAAAAATGTATCAAAAAAATAATAAAGAACCAAACAAGCAGCTTTAGGATTAGCATAAAGTTGGGAAACAAGGAAAGAAGCAAAAGAATAGTAATCAGTAGTTTTCATAAAAAATTAAAACAAAGGATCAAGATTTATAAAAAAAAAGGAAAGAATAAAAAGACATAAAAAGGTACAGTAGTTCCAATACATTCGATTCCATAAATTCCAAGAGATAAGTGCATTATAGACAATTATGTCAAATTCATGTGCATAAAGTGCATAAGCTAGAAGGAAAACTGAACTCGAACTACTAGCTGTCATTCTAAGTACTAGTTTGCCATTTTTCGGATATGATTGACAGAACAAAATTTTGGCGCATAGGAAAACTGGACTTGAAAAAATTTGAGGTTTTACAAGAAAATACTTTTATGTAGGTTTAGATCTAAATCTTATGTTCATATCATAGCACAATTTGAGGAAATCATTAAATTATGATATGCAAACACATGTCTCTTCAAGTTTTTAGATAGCAAATGGGACATTGCACCCACAAGATTAAACCTATGCAGTTTTAGAAAGGTTTGGATCTGCATTTGTAATGGCTCTGTTAATGTGTGAACTTTTTCTGGACTGACAAAATGATGAAATCACAACAAATTTACAAAGATCAAGAAATTTACAGTAACTAAATTTCCTGGAAGATTCAGAAAAACTGGTTAGCTCAAAATTTGCTATGAAGATAAGTAGATTAGTCATGTCTAATTTTCCACCTTCATGGCTATGTGAATACAGATTTGAAGTCCTAATTTGATAGCCAAATTGGATCATTGACAATAGATAAAAAAAATCCTGTTTAAAACGTCTTGAATGATTGGCATAGATATATGTGTATGCATGGATGCACAAACATGATTTTGATAGATCATAGTGCGCACACAAACCATTTAGAGAGAGATGATGAGAGTACTAACCTGCAGATCCTTCAAAGTATCCGTCAGGTCCCTCAACGAACAACATTCTCTTTTGTACATCCTCTTTATTAACACCACCAAATAATAGATATGGCTCAGCAGCCTTCGACTGAAGACAACAAAATTTTATCATCGCATCCTTGTCTACTTTGATCACCCACTTTACACCTAAAGAAATTATTTTATAGTATACGATCTTATTAATAACAAGTAAAGAATAAGATTATAAATAATTAAATTTCATGATAATCTTTCACAAAATTTTTAGTTCTCCCCTTATGAAAATCAGTAACTTCAAAATTTTTCTTATTATGATTAAACTTAAATGCACAAAATAATTAGTAGGAAAACATCTTGAAACATTTATGCAATTCGTAGCCCCAAGCTGAGAAATTAGGGGAATTAAATAAATAACTATTTTCTTAGTTAGAATACAAAGAAATGAATTTTCTGATCCAAAATTACAGATTATAATGTCAAACTATTACACAATGAAAAAATCAAAATTAAAAAGAGAGATTTGTACACATCACCAAAAATTTTCTCATTTACAAAATTAACACAAAGATTTTTAAAATAAATGACTAAACCCATGAATTTGTGCAGGTTGTGACCAAACTATTGGAAATTTAATAAAAATAAAAAAAATGTGATGGGGACATCAGAGCATGTAAAGTATATCAGAGGCATGGCCGTCGATCTATGCCTACGGTCGAGTCAATGTATTTTTGAGTCATTTCATGTAATTGTTTTCTTTTATTATTATGTTATTCGTCTTTTATTATGTTGTAGTTGTTTTCTGTTTTTAACCCTTGCTTAAGGGAGGTCGTTTGTAAGCCCTGAGGGCATTGTCGTCTTTCTTATTTTAAGTCCTTTGTATGAGGCTATTTATAGCCCCTATGTTTCTCTTTGAAAGTTAATGAATGATTGAATGAAAAGAATTTTCCCACTACTTGAGTTCTATGTGAGATCTTGAGCGCGTTCGAAGAGATCCCTAGGAGAGGAAATTCGTATAACCCACCAACCTTGGAGATGGCCGGGTTCGTAGTTCGTTCTTTTATTTTTTATCTGTTTCTTCTCACCACACAAGCCACCAACCACATTGATCCCAATCTCCCCATCGGCTTAGTTCCCAACCCCTCCCATCCGATCCCTCCCTCACCCTTGCCCCGCCCCATCCACGACCACACCATAACCACCGGCCCACTTTGGGCTTCTCCCTCTTTTCCCCTTGCTTCCTAATTTCGATTGCCATAATTAGGATTAATTTTGAATTCAAATCCAAGTGATTTGAAATTCAAAATCCTTCTTAAGATACGAAATTTATTTTAGGAAAGTTTTAAATCTCATCCTCGCTTTTTTGCTGAAAATAATATTCTTATTGATAAAAATAGAGAGCGAGTTGATGAAAACCAATGTTTAAAATTGCGTATTTGGGTATTGAGGCGCTTTTCATTCGTGAGGCGAGGCGTAAGCCTCAAAATCAAAAGATTGCGTAAACATAAAATGATAAATTTTTTGGCGAGGCGGGCCTCAAGGCGGGCCTCAACCAAGTTGAGGCACAAGCCTCATAAAAAAAACTCGAGGCGTAAGCATCGAGGCGTTTTTTACTGGAATTGCGCAAAGGCGGGCCTCAAGGGGAGCCTCATATTGCGCAATTTTAAACCATGATGAAAACTTAAATTATGGAGGTTAAACTTAGAGTCTAAATATTTTTTTTTGAGTAGATCTAAAACTGAATACATTGAGTACAATTTAAGTAGTAATAAATATAAAGGAAGGATTGTGCAATGGGTGATTAAGTCATTAAAAAGTGTACACATTACAGATATCTCTGGCCTATTGTTCAAAGGAATGGTGAAATAGATGAGGATATCATTAGTAGAATTCAAGTTGGATGGTTGAAATGGAGGAATGCATCGGGCCTATTGTGTGATAGTAAAATATTCCTCAAACTTAAGGAAAAAAATTATAAGATGGTGGTGAGACCTGCAATGTTTTATGATACAGAATATTGGCCCTTAAAAGAGAATCATAAAATTAAATTAAGTATTGTAGAGATGATGATGCTCAGATGGATAAGTAGCATTACACTTAGATATAGAAAGTGAAATGAGTATATAAATGGAAAGGTTGGAGTAGCTCCAATAACATATATGATAAGAGACAGTCACCTTAGATGGCATGGCCACATAAAAGTCAGCCTATCAATGATCATGTTAGGAGAACAGATGTATTAGATCTAGTTTATATTAAGAAATGTAGAGATCGAACTAAAAAGACAGTTATAAAGTATTAAAATTACCTTTTTTATTAGATTCAAATGAGATTTTGATACTTCATGAGACAAAATGGAGAAAAAGGATTCAAAAAGTCAACCCTATGTAGTGGGATAAAGGATGCTTGTTTTTATTGTTGTATGTCATTAAAAAAAAAAAAATCAAACCCCACCTTAAAAACAAAGCCTAATATTTTAGATTGCATGACACTATTTTCCCATTATGTAAACCATCCAAAACTAACTAATGTTAGGTCTATAGAATCTTTATGATAAAAGGAGTAACTTAGTAGGTAACCCTTTAGGAGGGTGGTGGAAAGGTATACAAGTAGAGGTAAAATGGGAATTAAGGATTTTGATAGATTTGATGCTAAACTTTAAGCTATCAAAGGTTAAAATTTTATTTTAAAGCAAAAGGATGAGAAACTCCAGATCAAATGTTTATATGTTAAGCAATCAATAGTGGTTTTTTGATGGGTTTTGGATACTAGTTAAGGACTTGTGAAATTTTTAATGCCTTTGTATTAATTAGGGTATTTTAGAGTTATTGGGAAGTCAAATCATAAGAATGTTATGAGTAATGTAAGGGAATTTGCAATAGTATTTTAAAAATGTTGGATATGTTTGAGGGTTGAGAGAAGCTAGTATGTAAGTTATGTAGGAGAGATAAGAATTTTTTTAGGAAAGAGAGGAATATGAGTAGAAAAAGATAATAAAGGACTCACAAAAACCCTAAGGGGATTACCTACCAAACTTCATCAAAGAGCAGAGCAGCCAACAAACCTTCCAATATGAAATTTGCACAAGTAAAACTAATATATTCCATTAATCAAAAAGTACAAAGCACTGCCCTTTTTATAAGCATTTTCTAATAAATCATTCCTATTTATAATTTATTCCATGAATTCAAAACTGCTGGCTAAAGGACTCCATTTCCAATATAGTTGTTTTCTTTGTGATGGACTTGTTTTAAGAAATAGCCATTTATTCCTTGAATGTCCCTATCTATGTGATTTTCTAGAAACCTTCTATGCTATTAAGTTTTTTTTTTTAGGCTTCTTTGACGCAAGCTCTGCAACACAGTTGGTCTTGTCATACCAACCATGTGATCAAATATTTACCTACTGATTGTCAGTTTTATCATATCTAATATTTGGGATGAGATAAATAGTATACATCGTAATAATTTGATTTCCTGTGTAAATCAAATCAATATGAAGGTTGTTAAGTGGAGAGCTACTTTCTAGGTTAAACGAGGTGGAAGTCATATTTGATAGCAGGACAAAATTTAAATCATGAGTTCTTGTTACCCTAGTCTTTAGTGCTTTCGACTTTATTGTTTCGCCGGTTGTTTGTGCTATGGAGAAATTCTCTTTCCTTCGATTTTGGCAGTTTTTTATTATTTCCTTTCTAATTCAATTCTGCTTTCTGCTCCGGACGGAGCTTCTTTTGAGAATGGCAGCAAATCCACTACAACTGTTAAAAAAATTATGTTAACCCCCTAGAACCGTAGAAGGGCAATACCTTTGTGGCACAGATGGCAAACGCCGTCGTAGATGACTACTCGACGCTGAAGGAAGTAGGGTTCTGGAACCGCCTTACGTGAAGCAACAGGAGGATAGTCGAAAGCGGCCGATGCCAAACCCGGAGCAGAAACCCTCCTCAACTCCGGCACGGAGACCAATGAGTAGAAAATTTTAGGAAGAACCCTGCGCAGCATCTTCCACCGACCATCGATGCTCAGTTATGACAATTGCAAGGAACGATTTTAGTTCGCATGTACCAGCAAAAAGCGTCCATTTAAGTTATTCTGGTAAACAAAAAAAAAAACAATTTTTTTTTTTTTTTTTTTTGAGAAAAACAGTAACTGCATTAATGAAAAAAATAGGAAAGAAAAAACAATTACAAAGTAGATTCCTCCATTATTTTAACAAATGAAGGATGAACCTTATCCAAGCATAAGTCTTCCCAAGTAAAGTTACCAACAATAACATAGCTAGTACATAAATCCGCTAGCTTATTACTCTCCCTCTTAACAAAATTGAAAATAACATTATTAAACTCATTAAAAAAATCCAAATCTTCCATACCTTTGAGTCCTTGATTCCTTTTCTGGTGTATAGCTTTAATGACATTAGAATTGTCACTTTCTATGATAGCTCATTTATATTTAAACATCCAATCCTTGATCACCTCTTTCAAAGATTTGATAGCAAGAAGTTCCAATTGATTTATGTCCTATTGAGTAAAGGATTTGCCAAAAGCCAATAAGAATCTTCCTTTACAATCTCTAACCACACCACCAACGCCTGCTTTATATGAGGAACAAAGGGCAGCATCTATATTGATTTTTAACCAACCGGGTGGAGGGGGATGCCAAGTATTAGACAACCAATAAGACTGGTTAACATCCCCATTTTTCGGACATAAGTTAAAAAATCTTTTTAGAAAAAGCTGACAAGCTGATAGCATTAGCAGCAATGAAATTTGCACTTTCATCAATTCCATCATGCAACATTTTGTTCCTAGCTTTCCAAGAGAGGTACACAATATTATAATAAAGGTTAATAAACATATCATTAACCTTTAATGTTGTATCTAGCCAATTGCAACAATCTTCAAAACCTCCAAACATTGAAATCTGAAATCCCCAAACATTCAATAAAGAAATGACTTTTCTTATTTTCAAGCATTTAACCAGAATGTGTTCGGTATCTTCAATTCCCGAAGCACATCTGGGACATGTTTTATCTTCTTGTAATATTCTATGAGTAAGGAACTCATAAGAAGGCAAAGCATTCTTGAATATTCTATAACAGAAAATTTGTACCTTCGGAATAACCTTCGCCTTCTTTATCCATACAGTCCACCTGAGGGTCCCTTGATGCTTAAACAAGGATTCGTTGATCATTCCTTTGATAGTTTTTCCATAATTCTTATATATAAGCTCCCTCTCATCAATAATTTGTTCTCCGTTTATTTTAACTTGTAGAATCAGATTAATCAAATCAGTTCCAAAGCACTGCTTCAGATCATCTACCTTCCATCTTCCATCTTCAATAAATTTGCTTAATTTAAAATCTTCATCAGCTTGTGGAACAACAAATGTTGGCCATTTGTCAATTCTCCTATCCAGAATCCAAATGTCTTTGAATACTTGAACAGCTGATCCATCAGCTAATCTCCATTTTAACAATGGATTAAGAACTCTTCCACCATCCCAAATAACTTTCCAAGAAGAAGAGGAATTCTTTTAGATATCTTCATACCCAGGCCTCATACCATATTTTGGAGACAAAATTTTCTGTAGCAGAGAATTGTTGTTAGAGAGATACCTCCAGGTAATTCTAGCTCTAAGAGAGCTGACTCTAGCAGTAGAAGAGAACAAGCCACCTCCACCAATGTTTTTGGGTTTGCATAAATCTTCCCAGCTGATATAGTGCATTCCCAACTTTCCTCCGGATTTATTCCAAATAAATCCCCTACAAGGTTTTGCAATTTCTTTCAAAATTCTGATCGGAACCAAAGAGTGGGTGCTGTAGAAATTAGGAAGAGCAAGTATAACTGATTTGATTAGAGTAAGTTTTCCAGCCAAGGATAAATCCTTACTCCCCTAGATATTCAGCCTTTTAAGGGTCTTCTCAATGATAAAGTAATAATCATTTGCAACTAATCTTCTCAAGGCCATTTTTAAACCCAAATAAAAAAATTCCTTAACTGTTTTAAAACCCACAATTCTTGAGATACTCTTCTTCCTTCTTCTATTAACATTCTTTCCAAAAATCATTACATATTTTTCTGTGTTAATGGATTGGCCAGTCCAATTGCAGTATTTGGAAAGAATGATTTTGACTTCACATGCAGCTCTTTTGGATGCTTCAGAGAAAATGAGGATGTCGTTTGCATAAAGTAAATGGGATATACGAATACCATTTGTACTTGGAATAATACCAACAGAAGACTATGCAAAGGCATTTGATAAGATCTGTGAACAGAGGATGAACAACAACGGTGACAATGGGCATCCTTGACGAAAACCTCTCTCAGCTTTTATCCAATCAGTAAAATTCCCATTTATGATGAATGAAAATCTTGGATTTAAAACACATTCCAATATCAGCTTATAGAACTTGGGCGGGAATTCAAAATAATCCAAAATTTTCATAAAAATGACCGAACTTATTGAGTCATAAGCTTGCTCCATATCTATTTTGTAAGATACCATCCCTTTGGCAGCCTTCAAAAATCTGAGTTTGTGAAATAACTCTTGTGCTATCATTAAATGATCGGAAATGGACCTTCCTTTAATAAAGGCAGCTTGCTCATCCGAAATTAGAGGAGGAATTACTTTATCAATCTGTTCAAAATAACTTTGGCAGCCACCTTGTAAACCGAATTACACAAGCTAATGGGTCTAAGTTGGACGGTAGCATGGGATTAGAAATTTTTGGAATAAGAACTATCAATGTATCCTTCCAATCCTTGTCCATTTCCCCATGATACAGAAAATGGTTTATAGCTTTAATAAAATCTTCTTGAATGATTTCCCAGTAGCTTTTGATATAAGAATAAGTAATTCCATCGCACCCAGGTGCGATATTTCCTCCCAGATGATGAATTACATTTACAATTTCTTCAGTTGTAAAGTCTTTGGAAAGCAAATCTTTGTCTTCATTTTTTAACACTGTCCCAGGATCCGGCCAGCCTTCAGTATCACTATTCCTCTATTTCCATTTAGATTTAAAAAAAAGCCATATTGTCTTTTCTATCTGATTTGAGTCTTCCACCACCATGCTTATTTCATCTTTAATTTTGATAATTCAGTTTGAACTCCTTCTAGCATTTGCAAATGAATGATAGAACCTTGTATTGCCATCTATCATATAGCCATTTGGTTTTGTCTCGTTGTTTCCACCAACCATTTAGTCGAGCTAATGTGACATTTAATTCATTAGTTTTGGCTTTTAACAACCAGCATTCCTCCTCTGTCAGCCAACCTTTATCAGATTCAGAAATCTGAATATTAAGAATGTCTTCCAAAAGATAATCTTTAAGCAAATTGAGATTCTTCAATTTAGCTTTACTCCAATAAAAAAGTGATTTTAATGATCTTCTGAATTTGGAATTCAGAATTTGAGAGGGATTGCCTGAATATTTTTTGCTCCATTCCTTTTTAATCACATTCATTGAGGCCAGGAATGAAGCCCAAATATCTTCAAATTTCAAACTTCTTTTAAGAGGCATGACATTGTAATTAATATGAAGAAGAATAGGACTATGATCTGAAGAGATTCTAGAAAGATGTCTCAAAACCAAGTTAGTAGAAAAATTCATATCCATAGAGTTAAGGAAGCACATATCAAGCCTTTCCAAGATCCGAGCTCCTCCAATTTTGTTGTTGCACCATGTGAACCGAGGCCCAATTAAATCGACCTCATGATAATCATTATTAGTAATGAAAGCCTCCATTTCTTTCAGACCTTGAGTGAAATGAAAAATTCTCCCACCTCTCTTGTCTTCCATGGAAGTGAGATAATTGAAATCTCATCCTATCACCATTGGACAATCTTCCAAAGAGTACATCTCCAATAATTCCCAAAGTTCCCTTCTTTTAATCAAGTCCTTGCTTCCATAAACTAAAGCAACTCTCCATTTATCTTTGCCATATATTGATAGATATCCTATGATACATTAAGAAGTCGAACCAAGCAAAGAAAAATCAGCCAAGTTTAAATTCCACAAGGCTATGATACCTCCTGAGAGCCCAGCCGAGGGTACCAAAACATACTTCCAACCATCACCCAGTAACTTTTTAGATTCTTCAATATTGAAAGAGGAAATTTTAGTTTCTAATAAGCCCAAAAATACTACATTATACATATTAACAAACTCCTTGATGTATAGAGAAACTCCTTTTTTCCTAGCTCCTCTACTATTCCAAAAAGCTAACAAATTCATGGTTGAAGACTTATGTGGGATGTCCCCACATTGCCTTTCGCATCTAGCTCTGATCTTCTACTTCTTGTGCTGTTGTTGATAGGCCAAAGGTCTTTTAATTGCTTAGATTTCTTCTTCTTCACCAAACTGGAATCTTCTCCAATGTTAATCTGCAAAAAAACATCCTCCTCCCTCATAATTTATGTTGTTTCATCCAGATTAACCTTCTTTGTTGGAGAGCTGATAATATCATCTTTAATAATTTCCCCATCTTCAATTAATTCATTAGGAACATTGAATTTGTTCTTAGTATTTAGAAAAGAAACTTTTTCTTTTAAATTTGCTGATTTGGGAGCTTCAACCAGAGGAATGATATCAGAGTTATCACCGTTTATCATATTGTCATGATATATTGTTGAGTCCATTTTCAGATTTTCCTTCAAAGTTTCTTCATTAACAACATTTGATTTTGTTTATGACTTCCTCCATACATTTTTAACCAAAGGCTTTTGAATTTCTTTCTTGAAAAGACTAACATTTTTCTTCCTTCCATGGTTTACAACCATCCACGGTCTGTATTCAGAAATTTCAATTGTCTCCTCCATCTGCTTTGTGAAGTAAAACTTTTGCTGCAACTGATACATCCACATCCACATTCTTCTCTTGATTCTCTGAAGTAGCTTTCCCTTATTTGCAAACTTCCTGACCATGTCCTATTAATCCACATTTAAAATAAAAGTTCGGAATTCGTTCATATTCAATTTTCTGGAAGAATTTACCAGAAATTCCTTCCACCCAAACCCCGACTGGAAGCTTCATATCAAGTCTGATTCGGACACATACCCTTCC